GTTGGAATAATATTGCAATATACAATACGTTGCGAGCGACATTTGATGTATGCGTTCGCGTATAATTAACCCAAGAAAATTCAAAATGGCCGACATATATATATATTCGAAGGTCAAACTTTTCTGGATCCAGCATATATATATATATATATATATATATATATATATATATATATATATATATATATATATATATATATATATATATATATATATATATATATATATACAATCAAATCCCATGCTACTGACACGTGAGAAAACTCTCATGCAAACTTTTGCTTGTCAACTCTCATCAAATCTCATCCCCATTAGGGTTTTAGCTTAGTATAAATTGGCTAAACGTTGTGTATGGGAAGCCATAGTTGCTTGTTTGTTTTTATTAGTCATTATCAAAATCATTCGACTATTTTTTCGTTGGTCAATTTTTACAGAACTGAAATTTTTGAATTTCCAAGGAAATTTCCTGGGACATTCGACCCACAGCGCGGCCCGGAGACATATTTAGTTGGGGGCGAATTTAATTTCCTGAGACACTACACCCCAAGTTAGGTCTATTTTTGCGACCACCTCCCTGGCATATTAAGGTATTTAAACATACTATAATTATTCACAAATTACATAAAATTGGTGAGATTTTTTAATCTCTCATGTAAAAGTTTAATCTCGTCAAAATTAATTGAAATTTATCAATTAACGGCAACCGTGCAGTAAAATTTGTTCTGGGATTACATGCATTTACTTAATTAAACCAGGGTGGCGAAACATAACTGACACGTATTTTTAATTGGGCTGCATGGTCAGATTCTGGAGCGGGGATGAATATTTCCCTTAGTTATAGTCGGCACTGGAAATCGGGCTGGAAATAAGTTATATATCTTCTAAATCTTCAACTATAACATCCAGCCCTACCTATATGAGGGCGTAACGTAGGTCTAAACATTTGGGGTTGTAAAGTCGAGCATAGGACGCTTATGGGAAGGCACAAGTAATAGCCATATGGCATGCTCCCCCAGAAAATTGTGAAATTAGGTCTCTGAAACGCCATTTCATGAACTTTGGTGAAGATTTTACTAAATTCTGATTGTCAGAAAACGACGTATATACTATATACTATAATATTGCTTTTGTCAAACATTAGAGAAGGCAGTCACCCCCCCCCCCCGAGTATGATTTCTATTAATGACAAGAATGGAAGAGAATAGCAGATATTGGGTAAATGGAGACCATTGTTAAGCTTAATAGCTTTTCAAGAATGGACCCCAACTGCATGGGTTACTTTAGCCTGCATGCCAGGCGGTTCCTAAAATGGGGCAAGCCTGGCTGCCATGCAGGCTAGGGTTACTTAATATTTGTTAAAAAAATTAATGTACAGTGCGGTACTGAAAATTATATTTGATGAAGGATTAATAAAAGATATCGCAATCTTCTAATTATCAGAGACATGTACAAGATCTTAAAAATTCACCAAAATTCAAAATCAAACTTCAAGTTCCTATATCATCAGGTTCCTACTAGTGTCTATCCACCGTTTCGTTTGAAATTCGTCGCTAAATATTTGTTTCACTTTAATTTGCAGATAATCCATTTAGATGCCAGTGTACACTGACAACCTGGGAATGAAGTGTTAGTGTCCAGGATAAATGCCACTCGCTTCTGTAAACAAGGAGATACCTGTCAGGCTCTGTATAACACGAAACTAGAATGTTTGTTGTTAGCGCTTGTGACAGTGCATGAAACATTCATGAGAATTGATATTAAAACACAATGAATTTTCGGCAAAATAATTATGACACCGCCCACGGGATCTTTTGTAGGACGCATCTGGCTATTATGGCATATAATGTAAAGTATCTGGCAAATCTACTGAGCACTGATATTTGCATGAGCAGTTGAGGTGTTCAGACTTGCAATTTAATATGCAATTGAGGCCATGGTCAAACGTCGAACTTTTCATGATCATGTGCCGAACCTAATGCAAATGAAGTGAAACAAAGAGCTCATTAACATTAGGTTCGGCACATGAAAAGTTCGACGTTTGACCCTGGCCTGAGCCAACTTGCAAAAAGCAAAACGAGTGGGTGCAAAATGGTGGGCGCAAACGGCAAATTGTCGTCTGATAAAGGCATTATTGTCGTTGGGAGCAAAGTTGGCAAGATTATGTGGTATTGTAATGCAAATTAAGATGACTCGATACAGTTTTCAAATTTTTAAACTTCGTATTTTGGGTTTTGTGGAGCAGATGTCGAACTGTTCATGCTTTAATGTTTCCTCTTTCAAATTATGCTGGTTTTGGTAACATATCGTTCGTTGTTATGGCAACACACGCGTTATGTGTTCAAATATCACTTCGTAGACAAGAATCTGTGAAAGCTCCAACTGGAGCCACACCTCTAATTAACAGACTCTTATTTCAGTTCCGAAACAACATGACCTACAGTATATCTATTGACCTCCATCCAGTGGACATCTCTAATTTATAGTAGACACTTATTGAGGTTCCCAAACGAGACGCCCTTATATATTTCCACGAAGCATAGATATCTTATATACACTAGATAGTGCATCTAATTATTCTGAAATTCAAAAATTGAAGCCGTGATTGCAGTCTCAGGTCGTTCCCATGAAATTAGAAAATTCGTATGTTTTCTATTTCTTAAACAGGGAACTTAAACATTAAGTTAACCCTATTCCAAATACGTTTTTAAAATATTGAAATGATGAAAATTATTGTTGTTTTTAAGCGTTTACTAGCAAGTGGGAACGACCAACATGGCCGCCATCTATTCAAATGGGGGTAACCGCTGGAATATTGTTGGCTTCAATTTTACTAAAAGAGATGCGCTATCTAGTGTATATAAGATATCTATGCCACGAAGTCTAGAGAACACCTCTATTTAACGGTCGTTTAAAACGTTCCACGTTGGTGTTAGTTAGAGACTTGCCTGAAAAAAGCTTCATTTGATGCTTTCCTATGAAACGATGTATTTGACAGTTACACCTGCATGAGCTAAAGTTGTATATGAGCTGATATGAGCATGCAAATGTATTCTTTTTTGATTGTGAATTTTCTTTCAATGTTGTCCTACTCACTGTATATATATACTGTATATGAGTTGCTCAACCAATCAGATTACAAAATAGATCAAACACAGCAGATGGCAAATAATTATTATGACTTTATTAAACCTCTTATCTTAATATCATACACTACTTCTTCGATTTTCTTAAGATCATATTTTAATCCATCGAACTTTTTCCTTAAAGAATCATTCTTGAGATTTAGTAACCGAAAGCCAGCGTCCAATTCCGAAACAAACGAAGCAATCTTTTGAGGTCGCTGATATTCTTCAGCTGTCACACAGTTTACTGCCAATCTCGACTAGAGAGAACATAAAATATAGAGACACAATAAGTATAGGCTTGCCACAAAATACACTATCAACTATACAGTTTTTAACTTGTTCACAGGTCGAATTCGTGGGTTTCAGTCATAGATATCTTATATATACTAGATGGTGCATCTAATTATACTGCAATTCAAAAATTGAAGCCGTGATTGCAGACTCAGAATATTCCCATGAAATGAGGAGACTCCTATATGTTTTCTATTTCTTAAACAGGGAACTTAAACATTAAGTTAAACCTATTCCAAATACATTTTCAAACTATTCAAATGATGAAAGTTATTGTTGTTTTTTAAGCGTTTATTAGCGAGTGGGAAACTCCAACATGGCCGCCATCTATTCAAATGGGGGTAACCGCTGGAATATTCTTGGCTTCAATTTTACTAAAAGAGATGCGCTATCTGGTGTATATAAGATATCTATGGTTTCAGTAAGGGTTGCAAGGGCTGCATATATAATGATCAATTTCCGAATGTAGACGCTTTAGAAGCTCCTTTGTCTCGTTAAAATAACTTACCCAGCAAACTATCGAAGTTCTGTCATCTGCAAGTTTACATGTCCAGGCCGCAACGCACGTTATGTATAGGATAAACACCGAGAAGGAGGGATTTCTCGACTTTCGAGGTGTTTATCATATTTAACTCATGGTTGAAGAGGTTTTCCAACAAAGTTTTGTCTGTTTCGTCTACTTTGAACGACGATTTTCTGACTTTTCCTTCATCTTTTCAGCTAATCACGGTTAATAGACCTAGACCTATTAACCGTGAGCTAATTAATATTCAAGGTGATTATTAAAAATAATCACCTTGGTGCATCAAAGAAAACCGACTCAATCATGAATTTAAATAACCATATTCATCACGTGGACAATTTAATAATATCAAAACTGTAGTGGAACTACCATACCACATCAAGACTCTAAGGGGCCATTCACAAAGGATGTCCGAGCCAAGGGGGGGAGGGGGGTTTGGAAAATCAGGACAAACTCGGACATAGGGGGGGAGGGGGGGGTTTTAGCAATCCGGATGTCCGAAATTTAAAAAAATTCAAAAACAAATTTCTTTTTCCCTCTATTTTGAGCAGTCCTTCCCATTGTGAAATTGGCATTTTGACTCTGCGGTTAACACTAGATTTTGTTTTAATTAGTAATTTATATGTTTTTGTGTTCACATTTACAGTTATAAAAAAGTTCTAAAAGTAAAAAAAGTTTTTTACTCTTGAAATATACAAGGTTGCGTGAGTTTTTGCGAGGCATGGCGGATGTCCGGGGGGAGGGGGGGGTCACTAATTCGGACAATGCCGGACAAGGGGGGGAGGGGGGTCTGAAAATCCATCATTTGGCCGGATATCCTTTGTGAATGGCCCCTAATATATTATGTATATTCTTTCTTTTCAATAATTGTAAAATATACACATGGAGCGTATGCATACTTTCCTTGAAATGGAAATCGTGACGTTAACCCTATTTAACAATTTCCTTTTTTATTGATAGGGCAGGTCTGAGTGAGGCAACCAAAGGCTGGTACATACCTTATACTCAAGGATGGATTTATTGGGGGGATGTGCACCCCCTAGCCCTGCCCGAGGGGTGCGGTGGGTGCTATTTTTCATGATAAAGCAAAAAAATATAAGAGACAAAATGAGATACAGTAATTTGAGTAATAACATGATGATAAGCGAACTGTGAATTACAATTCAAATACAGTAGTCAAGCAAGACTTTTCAGTAGTCAAGCAAGTTGATGGGCTGGCGGGGTACATGACCGACACAACTCGGCACCAGAGCTGGCAGAGCACCCTCCCCCCCCCTACCAGATCATGCTGGATCCATCCCTGATTACACTTTCTTGCATATGTATTACCAAGTGTGTTGATTTTTAAGAGGGAGGAAAGCCGGAATACACGGAAGAAAACGCTCGAAGCACAGAAGAAAACTACGAAAATACTATAAGCCCTAACTGGGCTTAACTTTTTCAGTGGTGAGAGAGCTGACCGCTGCATGGCCTTTATTACTGTTCAAGGAATCGCTTGCGATACGAATCCTAACTAAAGCTTCTAAAGAACTAATAATATTTAACTAATGACCTTATATATAGTACTTCTCATGTTTCTTCACTTGTACACACAAATACATGACATGTAGTAATTTCCATTATTCCTGCTCATGACTAAAATCTAGTCGAAACGTCGAGTAAAACCATCAAAATAATTACCGTTTTCGGAGTGACTGCTGTATTGTATTTGATTAAAATACTCAGTACTTCCCGCAATTTCGGCAACTGTTTACTGTCAACCATTCTTCTTTGTATATATACAGTAAGACTTTTTTCATCTCCCAGATTTGTCTTTGCATCTCCCAGTTCTTTCGCCAACGATCGACATATATCACCAACAGTAACTATCAACTGATCTTTATATAACGATCAGTTTATAGTTATTTGTGGTGAAAATGGCATGAAAGAGCACAGCACGGAAATATTTCGTGACAATATGTTGATGTATATCATCAAAATAGTCAGGGGAAAACAAAAGTACGTCCAGTCCAGCTATGTGTCACGTGATGCATGGCCTGCACAAATGAAGTCGCTCTCCATTGATTCACTATACTGGCATGGATTGCTCTGGTGACCATGTTCTTTGAGGCCAATTAAAGATCTGGACGGAGGTATTTACAGCACCTCCAGCAAAAATAATCAGTCTTGTACTTTTCTTTCTACATTTGCTACGTTTTTTATTTCTCGGGGTTTTTCTTACTTCATATTCTCGATATTTCCATGCAAGTGCGTCAACTTGCGCAAGTTAACAATTTTATTCCCTTATTCGCCACATCTGTCTTCACATTCGCCACATCTGTCTCCACATTTGTCATACATTTGCCTCCAATTCGCCGCATTTCCTTCCACATTGGCCTCACAAGTTAATAACTTTCGAAATTCCCATAATCCACTAGCCTCTTGATAACATTGTTTGTAAGACCCCACTTTGTCTACGTCCTGTGTGATGCCAAACATTCTGTAGTACAAACCTTGCCACGGTTAGTTCTATCGAACGAAATGCACCAAAATCTCGATTTTTATTATAAAGACAAACCGATCGTTTTTGGAGAAAGTGTATGTTTGAAAAACCAGTTGAACCTCAAATTTTAACCAGGTGATCTGCTTAGAGTAACAGATAAATAGGAATTTGCTATTACAGTAAAATAGAGACAGTAACAGACAATGGCGGTGTGAATATACAATGGGCAATTCCAGCTATAGACTACATTTTGATCTAGGCAAGAAGAACAAAATCCATCACCACAGCTATATAGAAAGAGCATGCTAAAATTAGTAAAATTACAAAGTTTGGCCGCGAAATGTTGTAAAATGAGGAAAATGTAGCCCAAATGTGGTGCATTTTCCCGTGCGTAATACAAATTAATACGCATTTTACACCATTTCGCAACCAAACTTTGTAAATTTACTAATTTTAACATGCTCTTTCTAGCTGTGGTGATGGATTTTGTTCTTCTTGCCTAGATCAAAATTTAGTCTTTTGCTGGAATTGCCCATTTCCTGAAAAAGATATTAAGCAGAACGTCGACGTAACTTCCTGACGAAGGACCTTTGTCGACGTTCTGCTTATATTTTTCAGGTAGTTGTACAGGGTGTCTAAAAAAACGAAATGAACATTCATCAGGCTGTCGTGCATCATAAACGTGGCTAAACAATTCAATTTTTACATAGGACGAAAGAACAGTTATTTAGCTTTTCAATGATACTCTTTTTAAATCGTAATGATGAGTAATGGCCACATACTCGTCAAAAACATTGCCGGTTGAAATCACATTCTTCCACCGTTGGGAATTGCATCGAAAACGAAACATAGACAATTCCCAAGAGGGAATTAAAATTGAATGTTAAGTTATCTAAAATGAGCTCAACTCGTCAATCTTCGTCTTAATGAAACAATAAGAACGTCCATTAAACAATTGGTTCAATTAACCACTGAACAGAGAACATTCGTAATCAAAACGTTTTACGAAACAAATAGCTTGCAGCAGGCTCACGTTGCTTTTGGATTGATTAACTTTGCATAATTAATATATTTTCAGTTCCCAACAGTGGAAGAATGTGATTTCGACAGGCAATTTTTATTTGACGAGTATGTGGCCATTTCTCATCGTTACGATTTAAAAAAGGTATCATAGAAAAGCTAAATAACAGCTCTTTCGTTCTATGTAAAAATTGAATTGTTTAGCAAAGTTTATGATGCACGACAGCCTGTTGAATTTCCATTGCGTTTTTTTGAGACACCCTGTATATCCTTCACACGGCAGCAGTTCATGGTAATGTTACTTACCAATTCATTGGCTAGCAACAATAATCCAGTAAGAAAGTCGTCTAGGTCAATATGAAATCCTTCTTCACGTTTAACTTTGACTACAAAAAATAAATTCTAGCAATAAAATGCGTTATTTTTGTGCTTGACATATTTCACCCAAACTTTTTTCTAATATAGTTGTATAGACATTTCTAGTACAATATCAGCCTCGTACCCAGGCGCTATGTGTTGTTCTATGGCTTGCGCGGCCTTTGCGTGGGCCGCGTTGATTAATTCGTCCCAGGTGCGCTTAATGACGTAAACAAACCAAAGCGCCTGGGTACGAGGCAGGTACAATATAACAATCACTGGCTAAGAGTTAAATAAGATGATCAATTAATTTTCAATGGATTGATTGGTTGAATATATCTAATTAATATAAACTCTTATATAATTGGTTTGCTTTTGTGATTTGCTTTGTAAATGGTTAGTTAACTTAGTTTATTTTGAAAAATTGCTTTTCACATTGTTTTAATTGTCTGCATTGGTTAACGAGAATTAGATGCCATCCAAAAATGACGGATATTCGTCATCGTGAGAAAGGCTAAGTAGGCAATCACAATTACCACACCCTATGTAATCGACCTTAAATATAATGCACTTGAGCATTTACTTACTTCCAAGCATAGTAGCAACTTCTTCTCGCGTTATCAACCTGTCGAACTGTAAATAAACAAGAAATGAAGCAAGAAAAGACGCTCTTTGACTCACAAACCTCCAGTGATCATGAAACCTTGAAATAGAAGTAAAATTTCAAACTTAATATGACTTAATTTTGCTTATATTTTTCAAGTAGTTGAATATCCTTAATACCGCAGCTGTTTCTAAATATTCATAACATAGCCTATCATAGCAATATTAGGACCCGGTTACATGGTTCCGCTATAATTGCCTTGTTAAGGCCCATTTCCGCTCAGGAAAATTTTCCGCAGAAAGAAAATTTTGTAAAATGTGATTGGCCGACACAAATTTTCCGTCGGAAAAAATTTTGAAGTTGAAAATTTTCAACTTTTAACAATGATATTTTCGGAAAATTTTCTGTCCGTGCAAATTTTTCTTGAGTGGAAATGCGCCTTTAGGACGAATGGATGAGAGGTGGGATGAATTTGATTGAAACCTTGAAGAATATGTTGAGATAAAGCCTGAGTTGTGTTGCAATTAAAAAGCATTTCACCACAACAAATTGTTAGAATTCAGATAGAAAATAGATTATTTTGGTCATTCATTTTTCCCAAAAGCTGTACGTTAGTGGAACTGTTTGCCTCCTGCAGTAAAAAGTACGACGAACATTAAGTTAGCCGTTACAGGAAAAAGTTAGCCGTTACAGGAAATTCATTAATCGAGACAAGAAATGAATGCCTTTTATATACTTTATAGATTCTCAAGTGAGCAGAAATTAATGGCTTCTGAACTAGTTTCAATTAGATATTTATTTGCAAATAATTTCGCATTATTTACCTGATGACAGTTGTATTTTATTGCATGTATTTAGATAGTTTATATATTGGTGGCTGTAATCATTTAGGGCTAGTGCTCTGTTCAGCGACCTGCTACCATTCACTTTAGTTAGCACTGAATTGATTAAAACCTAAAACCTTAAAAAACATTTTTCTTGCTGTATGTTCTTTATACTGACTTATTTCAATGTTTCGAAAACATCCCACTTTTCATCCCATCTCGGTAATGCAGAATCATGTAAACAGTCGCTAAGGAAATAAAAAACCTGGCTAGCTCTACTGCGTATATAAGCATCCCCTTAATAATCATCATGCTCCACTACCTATAATATTGTCCAGCTGGAATCAACAAAATAAGCTCGGAAAATTGTAATTTTAGAGCTCCAAACATTTCTTCTGCTTGTTGGCAAATTGCAGATATATCTATGGGATAAAAAATTTAAACGATACTTAACACTACATTGTTCTATTATTTAAATTCTATTTGTTACACATACTCGCAATACCTTATTTCTTCCATTCCCTAAGTAGGTAAGGGGAGCAACGGTGTGAGATGGTATGATAATTAATAGGGTATGAAGAGCCGCTGAGAGACATTAGAGACTGTTCATTTCCTAGCTGGGAGGAGTGCTAGAGGAATTAGAAGGTGGACCATCCAGATAAAAATGGCCTGAAAAGGATGGTCCATGAGAAAAAATACCGACATGGATAAAGTTATTCCATGATTTATTAAATTTAAATGTGTTCATATAAGGCAAATTAACTCCTCGTAAACTGGTTAGACCATACTTAGTTTGGATGACACAACAATGTTTTAAGTTCTTTGTATATAGGTGTGGATAGCAATCACTAAACTATTGTTTTGTGTTGCGTAATTAAAACAAGATCTTCCTGATTGGAATTATTAATTCTGGCAATGAAACGGCTCCAAACTAAACTACCAGTCAAACCTATAAGGATGATGAAAAGTAAGAAAAATTCTTACTTTTTTGCTGTGAACTATGATGAACAGCTTGTAAAACTGCCAGAATCCCTCTTGTTGTTTTTTCTAAATTGCGAACAGCACCATGTATTTTCTATAATTAAAATAACAATAATTTACCATGCATCAGATATAGTGGTCACTCACAGCTATCAGACATATAAAGTGTTTAAATGCCTTTCATTATATATAATAGTGCCAGTAGCAGCCTGCACGCAGTTGCACGTCCTACTGTACTGTATGCCTATATTAGTACACACGCAAAAGTCTCACTACTCTGTCAACAAGTTGTCTTCGCACTGTTTGTCCAAAGTTGTCAACAAGTTTGGAACAAACTGTTAACAACTTGTAACAACCTTGTTGATATTATCAGACTTGTTGCAAGATTGTTCCAACAAGTCCGATACAGTCATGATATAACAATATTGTTACAACCTTGTGTCATCAACCTTGTAACATTCTTGTTATATCATGACTGTATCAGACTTGTTAGAACAACTTAGTTGCTACAAGTCTGATAATGACATCAAGCTTGTTAACAGTTTGTTCCAAACTTGTTACAACAACTGGGAACAAGCAGTGCGAACACAACTTGTTGACAGCTTGTGAACAGATTTGTAACAACTTGTTTGCAGACCTAGCTGTAACAACTTGTGCGTTTTTACGTGTGTAAACTTTACTCAAAGTGACGACCATCTGTTACCTTCCCTGAAATCCACATGACTGAAGCATAATTACATTCAAAAAGACTGGTCTCATTCGCCAGATCATTTAAAATATTAAGTAAACTAAATTTGCTTCATGTAAATCTGTCTCTTGGTTGTTTCGCAGTTCATTAACCGGCACCCAGATGATCAAGCTAGAATAGCACAATTTATACTGGCAATGGTTCTGCATGGAAATAAATTATTTCTAATATTTCCTGTGACATACACGATTCGTAATGATTGGAGTATTTTCTCACATCAAGATGATTGGATGACATCTGTCAGAACAAATGCAAGTTCGCAGTCAGTTCGTATTAGTGACGGAATATTCGTCTGTTGCAGAACTTATACAAAGACGAATTATCAGTGAAACTATCTCCTCTTTGCTATAGTTTGTCCAGACGGATTATACTATCATGCATGTAGTGGTGACAGCAAAATATTAGTCACACTCGAAATACAGTAGCTCTTTCCCAAAACAGGATATATACCATAAATGATGCAGGCACAAGCTCTGTTGTGTCTATAGGGGCACAAGACACGTACAGTATGTCTGCAGAGACAATTAAAGTAGCATCTAGCTGTTGTGCGCTGCTTAAGACCAAGACAAACTCCTAATCATAGTTTGTTTACTAGACAATTGTGTCTTATGTTTTATACTGAAGATGCATAACCTGCTTGCCCACATTTGTCCTGATGGAAAATGCATCTAAGAACTTGTTGTCATGGTGATTATGATAATTCTAAAATGAGAACTTCTCACTTGGTTTCTTACAGGATTCTGCTTATTTACCAGGGTGGAGTAGGTTCATAGAAGTAATAGATATTATTTCTATGAGTAGGTTACATGAGTTTGAATGACATTTTTTCCTCAATAGTCTGTATCATCATCATCTGATCATTTAATATATAACTGGTTTATGCACCCAGCACCCAGTTTATCTCTGTCTTTATCAGATTTGATCAAGGCTCCCAACAAATCTAACATACTCAGGGCCTCCAAGAGGTTGCAGGGGGCCTGCAGCAAAACTTTCCCAGGGGCCCTATGACTTTATAACAGGGTTTGTACACCTTTTCCCATTTAAAATTCCATGACTTTTCCATGACCATTTTTTTCAAAATCCATGACCTGGAAGTCTGGAATTTCTGAAATTCGTTAATATTTTAACAATAACAGATATAATAAAAGAACAAAATTCACTTCGCTTTTGAAAAAATCCGTTATATAACAACAATTCATATTATTGTTATGATTGGTAAATTGAAATAAGTAAAATACTTTGTTACTGTTATGTAAAATTTCAATTTTCCATGACTTCCATGACTTCCATGACTAAAAATGATTTTCCAGGATTTCCAGGCCTGGATTTTGGAATATTGAAATTCCATGACTTTCCAGGTTTTCCAGGACCCGTACGAACCCTGTTATCATTGTAAAACAGGAAAAGTGGTGTTTTACAATATCAAAGATCTGTGCCAGCATAGGTATAGTATTACCAATATTGAGATGGATATAGGGATTCAACTACCTATCCATCTCAATTTTCTGGTGTTAACCCATTGAGTGGCAGCACTCTCCACTTGAGGAGTAAAAGCATCTGGCGTTGGACAGAGTAAAATACTAAAGTAGGGCGCATCAGGGTGCATTTCCACTTAAAGGGTTAAAATTGAGATGGATATAGGATTCAACTACCTGAAAAATACAAGTTTTACTTGCATTTGAATACTTGTTTTACAATATATTGCAC